CGTGCATTTTGCCATCCACATATCGGAGATAGGAAGTTTTTATTGGCTACTTGTCGTAGGCTGTTTTCATTTACCATTTACGGCTATTTATTCATACACCATTCATCCTGCTTGTGGTTTATTTCGATCGAACAAAAGAGATTACCGTTTTGTTTTTTGTATAATTTATTGAACAATTATGAATCACACACCCACGGAATCTGTTTACTGCAATTATGATCATAATCAAGTTGATTTCGTTTGTAGGATATAAAAAAATTGTAATTTCGTCGAAACCGACGGCCGCATCATTTACATTTGGTCAAAAACACAAACACATCGCACGATTCGATACAGATGGGCCAGGGCCCTCAGCATATGATATAACTGGTTTAAGTGTCAAAGGTATTTGAATGGAAGAATCTGACATAAAATCTCATCTCATTTTTTACCAAAAAAAAGAGACTTGAATCGACTTAGCAAGAGTCGCATTTTCATGGAAGATTTTACTCTTTTTCTGTTCATGCTTACGTAAATGTTTGGAATACAATAGCAGGAAAAGTTACGGCTCGTGAATCGACTCTAGGTAGTCGACCACCCGATCGTAAACAGTTTGAAACCCCAGCCCCTGGTGACTATGATCTCGATCGAAAAGAAAAATCAAAGCTAAAGCGTGGCTACACGTTTGGCCATCCAAATCCACACCATCGACCCAGTCGCCAACCAGGTAACAAAATATGCTCGAATCCACTGAAAACTGGATCTTTTTCTTGAAACGAATCTATTGCTTTTTTGGGATTGATCCACCGCTGGCACAATCAATGTAGATATTTTGGAAATTCGTAATTTTGAATACACGTTGAGTATCCGTTGAGCTTTGGTATTGCATTTTTGATGCACTCTTTTTGACTAAGTAATTGATGCTTTGTTGGATTATTGCAAACCAATTTGATTGACTAATTCGAGTTGACAAACACAGTTATTATCGCAACGATGTATTTCTATTCTACGATCAACGATTTATTGATATATTTTTTTCATTAATGACAATGAGATTTGTCGTTATAGCAAAGCATACAAAAAGGAGTGCCATTGAAAAAAACGATTTTCAAATTATTCAAGCAATCTCCGATTACATGAATAGAATCAGGGAAACGTGTGGTGAATAGGTAACATTCATGAACATGGTGAATGAAGTATTCAAATTAAAAATGGGTTCATTCAACAAAATTGGTTAATTGGACATTTTTTCATCGGTATCTTCTTCTTTTCAGCATCGAAGAAGCCAGTCTATACGTTGGGCTATAGAAATGTACTTGAACGTCTTTCCACAACACCAGGTTCGTTGAAAACTTTTTTCGATCACAAACGAATGTGTTGATAATGGATTTCTTCACCAAAAATAGGTCCTGGTTCATACGAGCCGGAGAAATGTAAAATGGATTATCAACCATCTTTCTCTATGGCAGGAAGACATAACACCGAGAAATTGAATAAGACACCAGGTAAAAGAACCGTTTTGTAACAAAAATTGCTGTTATCCATCATCTTCTAATCCATTGTATCAATCGCAGCACCTGGGGCCTATTCGCCAGAGAAATTCAACTTAAATCAACCGACTGCCTTCAGTTTTGGTTTGCGTCCTGAGCAAAAAGTTCGAAGTGACACTCCAGCTCCCAATCAATATGCCGCGGAAAAATGTAACTTCAACCGTACACCATCCTTTACAATGCGAGGAAGAAGAAAGGTGGAGAAGCCCGATTTAACACCAGGTAAGTGCAATATTCTCATTTTGCCATCGTCGATTTCCATTTGACTTTTCCAAACGCCCGTGTCGTTTTGTTGTTATCACCTGAAAATACTTGTATAAGGACGTGTGACATGAATATGATGGCATCCCAAGCTATCACATATATTCTAACTAGAATTTTTGTTCTTCGGTATTTTTGATTTTTTCTCAGCGCCAAATGTATACAGTCCAGAAAAGTCCATGAAACTGCTTGATCAACAGCCCGCATATTCCCTTTCGGGTCGCCCGAAAGATGAGAAATTGAGCCAAAACCCATCTCCTTGCTCTTATTCGCCAGAAAAATATAACCTTGATCAACCGGCAGCATTTAGCTTCGGCTCGCGACCAGAGCAGAAAATTAAGAACGATGTTCCCGCTCCAAACCACTATAAGCCCGAGAACTGTAATCTCGATCATCAGGCGGCATTTAGTTTCGGATTGCGTCCAGAGCAAAAAATAAAAAGTGACGCTCCGGCTCCAAATCATTATATGCCTGAGAAATGTAACCTTGATCATCAAGCAGCTTTCAGTTTCGGAACACGAACCGAGCAGAAAATTAAGAACGATGTACCTGGACCAAGTCACTATCAACCAGAAAAATGTAACCTTGACCAACAAGCAGCTTTTAGCTTCGGTACACGAACCGAACTAAAAGTCAATAGTGATAATCCTGGTATGATCATAATTTGTTTACCGTCTTGTCGACGATTCCGCACGAAATCAATCAAATTTCACATTGGGTCGCCGAAACGATTGAAACTTTGCACAGAAGTTGGGTATAGTATAAAGTCCATATAGTCGAATTTTTGATCAAACTCAACTTTCGTGTAAAATTTCAAGCAATTCGGCGACGCCATGTATATCTGCTCTAAAATTCTTTTACGAATTGCATCTTTGTATGCAAATAAGTGAAACGTGGATATAGAATATGGCAACAGTATGCCTTTTTTGGGGTTGTCTGGACAATAAAAGCCCCATTTCCCTTTAATATTAAAAAAAAAACGTAGAAAAGTTCATCTTACGAGGACATTTTTTCTTCTTACAATTAGCTCCAGGATCATATTCACCGGAAAAATGTGGTCTAACGAAAGAGTCTGGATTCAGCTTTGGAATAAAGCCACAACAAAAGATGGAAAGTATAGCACCATCACCGAATTCATATGCGCCAGAACAGTCCATGAAACTACTTGATCACCAGCCTGCGTTTAGCTTTGGTTCTCGGCCCGAACAGAAAATTAAGAACGATATGCCTGGACCGAGTCATTATCAACCAGAGAAATGTAACCTGGATCATCAAGCAGCTTTCAGTTTTGGAACACGAACCGAGCAGAAAATTAAGAACGATGTACCTGGACCGAG